GCAATATCATCGCAACAACTAGCAACTCACATGTTAGATTACAACAGGTTGAGCCAGTGCACGCTCCCCTGTGCCACCCTCTGAAAAAAATAAATCAAATGTCTGTACCTGAGGCTCCCTCATTTCCCATGCAGAGCTCTCCTTTAATGTGGGCTTTTCATGGTACCTTTCTTTGGCAAGAAAGGGCTGACAATGGCTTATTTACTTACTTACCTGTCCTTGAGCTATGTGGCTTTTCTTTGAATAAATTAAACTGGCTGTTTCGAGTGATGCTTTCAGCCTCTTCAGTCTGGATCTAATTCTCAGAAGAGTTTTTGCTTAAAACCTGTTTTTCAAGTTTTCAACCAAGTATTGACTGTCTGTGAGATGCAGCTCTATGAAAAGACTCTGGTGCCTATGGGTAAGGAAAAATATCCTATCTGGCTACCTTGCCTGCTTCTAGGTTTCCTATATACTTATAGACTAAAAGTGGAATGACGGCTTGCTAAAACATGCCCTTGTCTTTTTTCAGTTAATTGCCTTGCTTGTTTGCTGCTTGTGACTCTGGGACCAGATTTTCAGCTGCTGCGAGTTTTTTTTTAAATCCACCGCTAGAAGATAGGTTTATTTTTTAATGCTATAATAGCATTTTTAATATTCCTGAGTGGATATACAAATTAGCTTTGCTTTGTGTGACTGATTCTGTCTTACAGGAAATGGTGGTAAATACTTGAAAAACTGTCATAGTTAAGAAGTTTGATTTTAGTCTCCAAAGCAGAGGAAAATCTTGATTTCAATTTTTGGCAAAGGGTGTTTTTGTCATGTATTTTCTATTATCTCGGCACCAAAATTTCAGGGGCCAAATGCTCATTTGTATGAGCTGACTTATCTCTGAGGCAAGGAATTTTATGGTTCATCAGAAAAGCTGTCTGTTGTCATGGTCATGGGGTGATTTTTTTCCCCCTTGGGTGCCTAGGAGAAGAAATTAAAAGAACAAAACAGTGAGACATAGAAAAACATGCCGAAATGCCATGTAGAAAAGATGCGTTTTCTTTTTAGTACACTGTAGAAAGTTCTAAAGATTATGTCCCAGGCACAATAAAACATAACATGTATTAAATCTGGCACACAGATAGAGTAAACTATTGTTTCCCAGTTGTTTGGTTTTTCCCTATGCACTACCACTGTATTCAAGCATATTGTGTTTTTACATGTGCATATTCTTGTGGAGCAGGGAGAGAGGAAACCATAAGGGTGGCAGATACCAAAAAAACAGAAGTCCCTTTCATTGCTGGAGCTGTCATCAGAATCATATATGCCATCAGAGTTCTCAGTGATGCTTAGGGCAGAAGTTAAGAGAAATATTCAATCCCAGGCCCTTCTTTGGAAATATTGGCTCACTATTTACTACCATGAGTAGCTAGAACTCATCGTACACGATGCTGGGCTCTTCAGAACAATTCACGTCAAAATTGTATCTGACTAGAGATCTGCATGCCTCAATCCAAATGAATTCAGGATAATTCTTTTTCAGGTCTGATGCACCTGAAATCAGAATTTGGACCTAAATAGAATAGCTGTTCTTAAATTATTATTATTGTCATTGCTATTATCTCTATGTAAACAAAATACCACATACCATGACAAAACTGCTGCTTTTATCTCTCTTTGTAATGCTCCAAATCCTGTAATCTAATTGTTACACATCCTTGCTCAAAACAAAGGCTCAAATATTAGCTTAAGGTTGTAATAGTAATTAGCAGTGCAGAAGCTTAAGCTATCTGTGTAGATCACAGGGTTTGCTTACCACATACTTTATCAGTAGTTTAGCTTGGGCACCTTATCATCTGACACTAGGAATCCTGAGTTCAGCTGACTTTTTAGGAGTCTGAATGTTTGCTCTTTATCTCTTAGGCTGTGGTTGAACATGCATCAAACACAGAAAGGAATGTGGGGGGTGAGGGAGTAGGGAAATGGGGAAAACCAAGTGTTCTGGCAGTGAAATGGTACTAAATAATGCCAAAAAGTACTTGAAAGAGGAGTGGCAGTAGGATCTGTTTAATTGATGGTAGAACCAAACCAGAAGTAGGGTTTCATTCTCCACTGACAGAGCAAGGGTAGTAATTTACACCCAAACACAGTATCTGTAAGCTGAACACAGAGGTGATCAGAGCAATTCTGCTGCCATGTACACCAGGAATTTTCCAGCACCAGAGATTTGGAGATTGGATGCTCTGGCTTTGACACTGTGGCAAATTTATTGTTTGCCTTTACTGAGAGCATTTTAAATTGGACTTTTGAAATGCAGTCCAGTTTGTCTTCTGGTGCCTCTGTTTATTAGCTGTGGAGAGGGAATAAGGCTCATTCCATAAGCTGTTTTCTGCTATTTTCATCTTTTTTTGCTCTTTCCTTAATTTCAACCATCTGAAACAAGGTATAGGATTATAAGGACCCTTACTTTTAACAGGGTGGTTGTTTTTAAGCTCTGAAGATAAAAGGGAAGTCCTCGCTCAAGACATTAAGTTGAACCCCGTCCTTCAGGAACAACCAAGTCACTGTATTAACAACTTAAATCATAGATTCCTCCCCACAAAATCACACCCTCCAACTTTTCTTCTCCCCTTCAGTAACACCATCTTCTCTTTGACCACAGCCCTTGCCATGTCTTCTTTTCCATTTTTGTCTCTCCCTGTGCACACCTACTCCCTCTACAAAGCTCTCCTCTCTTCTGCTGTCTTGCCAGGTGCATTGTGTGAAGATCCAAGAAGTCACTCACAGGTAGCTGAGCTGGCTGGTTTGCATGCACTGACTGTCCAGCTGGCAGCCCAAGCCAAGCAATTAGCTAACGAGCTTATACCACAGCCTTTCACTCACATGAGCTGTGCTTTGTCTCACACGCCACTGATTTTCATAATATATGTAGGATATTTATATCTTTTAAGCTTTTTACCTCCCTAGAGAATGGGTTGAAATTAGCCACCAGGTTCAGAATACATTGCTGGGCACAGGATTGACAGATGGAGAGCCAGATGGACAGACAGCACTCCTATAAAAGCCTTATTTCCTTAGGAAAAGAGGCTGTTGGGTCTAAGCACTACTAGTAGAGGGTTACAGGATGGATGGGGGGGATTATAACCCTCATTAACAGATGTCATGTGTCAGACACTCCTGCAGAGAGATGCAGAGGGAGAGCAAGCAAAGCACCTTATTTTGCTTTGCAGGTGTGAGTTTAAGTCTGTTCTGCCTCAAGTAAACTCACACCAGACTGGCATAGCTACAAATTCAAAGGGGAAAGGGAAAGGAAGGCAGATTTGTCACTAGCTTCATTAGTCCTTTGTGTATTGTCATTTTAAGGGATTCATGTGGCCTTTCCTAATCTCACCCAACAGGCTCATGAAAGATTTTCTGATATTTTCTTTACCCAGCCCAAGAGGGTAAATGAAGTAGCATATTAAGATTGTGGTCCCTTACCCTGAAAATTATTTGAACCCATCCTCTGACCCAGTTGCACTCTGCAAATGTCTGTATCAGGCATGATCAGGTCTAACGGGCTACATAGTCTACATCTGGGCATTTCAAATAAGAAAAAGGCCAGATTTAAATGTACTGCTTACTGAATCCTAAAACCCACCACTTAACCTCATTTTCTAAATCTGTAGTCACTAAATATGAAAATGCTACAGCAAAACTTCATAGACACACAGAATGGCTTGAATTGGAAGGAACCTTAAAGATTTTCTAGTTTCAATGCCAATTCCATAGGCAGGGTATTTTACCTCTTCAACTCTTCTCTGAGATTTAGTTGTAGTGGTGCACTAGCACAGGTTTTGGACTAGTCCCTGTTAGACTCATGATTGAGTAACAGTCTATAGGATCAACCACCTGTTTTATTTAGCTGTTTTATTAGATGGTAATTTTTGTAGCATCCTTCCTTTGTAGCATTCTTGGCCCCACATGAGCTACCATGTGAGGTGGGCAATGTAAAAGAAATGAAAGGTGCCTTAAATGCCTTAATTGGAAGGATTGTCATGTGCAGAGTTGATATATGAACAAAATCTGGCTCCAGAGGTTATGGAATTCCAGCCAGGAAAGTGGGTGGGAACCCTTGGTTGAACCCAATTTCCTGCTTGAAGAACTGTTGCTCAGCAAGCATGCTTTGAGTTGTCCTCACTGTTGGATTCATATGAAGCCTGGATGTTGGGTTGTGGATGCTCACTGCAACACTGTGGATGCTCACTGCAGCTGGAGAGAGTAAAAAGTCTCAGAAAGTAATGTCAATTACTGCATTTTAGAAAGCAATTGTGTTGCTTGTGGTTTTATTTAAATTTGTAGGATAGCTGTGGAAACATCTCATTATTTTGATGCTGTGCAGAAAGTTATCATAGCTAAGGATAACTAGTACAATAAAATAAGCACAGATGCTGCTGGAACTTGTCTGAACAACCTTCACTCCACATTTTCCAGTAATATGATGCACCTTCAGTAGTGAAAGCTTTGTAATCAATCCTTTTACTTTTCTTTCACTACAAAAGTTCCTCTTAAAAGAACAGCAGATCTAATCTTCAAAAATATTTGCTGACTTCTGAAGCATGTTCTCATGCCTCTGAGTTTGAAGTTACAGTAGAAAATTTACTTATGTAGGATGGCAATTCAAATAATCTTATTTTATGTGAAAGTATATAAAGGTCGTATCAAAATTTCATTGGAGTTCTGTCCAAAGAAAAAGAAGTTGCTTGCTTATGAAATTCTGTTATAAATGCATTTAACATCTGGTCCTGCAAATGTACGTGATTGTTTCTTTTTGACCCCTTGCAATGAATAAAGGCAAGAGATGTGAGTAAAGATGTGCAGGATTAGATCCCTTACTTTATGGTTTTTTTTTTTTTCCTATGGCATTTCAATGATAAAAGACCAATTTCTGCCCTTGCTTAACCTCCAGCAACCCCACTGATTTCCTTGTTCATTCCAGATTGAAATAAATGACTTTACACACTGGAGCCTTTTTATTCTTTCCCTTCCAGATTGAGTGTCTCAGCCCAGACAATGGGCCCCTGCCTCCAGGAGTGTGCGACTGAAATAAATCCACTGACTTGAGCAGCCGCGCTCCATCCCACGCGACCGGGAGCCGAAGCTGGTTTCTGACACACCAACTTCCATGGAGCCAGGGAAGAGCGTACAGGTGAGCAGCATTTTTAAATCCTTAGCATGGCTTGTGTCCGTATCAGCCCTGACTCATAGGTTATACACGTAGGGTATGTATTAAATATCACTGTACTTGCACCATGTGTATCTATTTGAGATAATTATGGCTATTGGAGTGCTGGTGGGACTTGCAGTCTTTAATGCACTTATCCTCACAACATCTGATAAAGTGAGGAAGTCTTTTTATCTGTATATTATACAGAGGAAACTGAAGCCTAGACAGTTTTTTTGCTATGCCAGGGAACTGAATCTGGATTTTCCAAGCTGAAAGCTAGCACTCAGTCTGTTGGTCTGTCTTGAAATAAGCAGTACAAATAGGCACAGAGAACAGTGCTTCTTGTAAATCGGGGATACTGAACTACTTCACTGTGATACAGCAGACATGATAAATTGCTACTGTTAAATAAAGTGTTAGGGAATTGTCACGTAGCTATGGAGAGGCCACGCTGTTATTAAGGATGCAAAATGCATATATTTCAGCTTATTCTTCCATATCCATATTGACTCTGAAGTGCAAACAATAATAAAAAGTAAATTTTGCCAGTAAACTAACACAATTTATCTGGAGGACAGCGCAGAAAGTGGGAGCAGAGCTTGATCCCTCCCTGCTTGGGAGTGGTGACGTGTTAGCTGATGGAGGCAGCCCAGCCAGAAGGCAGAGAATAATGATGCTATTTATTGTTCTGGTGAGGATTCAGTGAGACAGGATGGGGGTTTAGTCCTAAAAAATTAACAAGGAGTGGAAATGTGTATCAGAGCTGGTCATTGTACTCAGATCTGTGGTGTCAATATCACAAGATCATCATTTTCTCTGTTATCATACAATAATGTGGGTACATTGCCATCTCAGAAGTCAATGGTTGGTTCAACACATGAAAAGGAGATGCCAGAAGTGAAGGTACTGGGGAACTATGGGCTTTATTCTGCTGAGGCAAAGATGTCTCCAAATCTGTTCCTTTAGTAAGACCAAGACTCTCTGTGATTGAAATAACTGACTTTTCGTTTCCCAAGAGCATCTAGCATGGGAATGGGACTATTACAGTGAATTTTGCTATTGCACAGGAATAAATCTGGAGTGATCTCAAAGTTAGTCAAAATATGTGGCCTTATTGTAGAATTAAAAATTATCACACATGCATCGAAACCAGATGATTTCATCAGGAAAAAGTCTTCTTCATTATGAGGTTATGGTTTGAATATGGCTGCAGATTGGCCTTCTAAGTTTTATTTGATATTTTTTGATATGCTGCAGTATTTCATTGTAATTTAATGGCAATTTCTATTCACACAGCTATTCTAAATAGGTTCTTATACGTACCTATTACCTTGGTAGCCAGGTTTCTATATCAAATCCTGAACATTCCATTATTATTAAAAATATAAAATCCATCTATTCCATCTGTTTTGTACAGTAAGGTGAACAAAATTGGATGTGAAGTCACAGTGTGGTAACAGGGTAATTTTTTTTTGAGTTTCTTCTAATATACTTATTGTCAATTGTATTGAAGATGTATTATATTACAGTTGTTCATGGCTGTTTTATCATGTGCTATGAATTGAGAAATATTTTCTCCTATCCCTGGATTTAAAAAAGCATGCTTTAGATTTTTTAGAGAGGAAAATATGTCTTTGAAAAGTTGTAATTTGATCCTCTGAGCAATTTATACCATTCTTGACATGATCTACACCTTCTTGATGAAGATCTTTCTTCTTCCTAAGACATCACTGGAATTTCTGGGGATAAGAGAGACTTCATTCCACTTCAGTAGACTGAATGAACCAGCATCTCATTTGAAGTTCACTTTGTATGGTATATGAAGTATGGTATGGTATATACAGTAAAGCATACAGGTGCTTTACACAATCCCAAAACCCTTACTTCAAGAACAATTGTCTTCCATGGAAGTGGCCTCCTGAAATATTTTCCTTAGTTTAAAAATAGGAAAAAAAAAAAAAAAAGAACATATTTACAGAGTTAAAATATAAACAATGCACAGGGAAAAAGAACATAATAGGTTTAGGGAAAGGAGAATAGAGACCTATATGCTTACAGGACCTTCCACCTAATTGCCTATAAATAATTGTCTTGTGCATATTACTCACATCAGAATATGGTCTATAAACCTAGATGTCAGCTACAGAGCTCAGCTGCTGTTTGTAAATGGTATTAACTGTGCTCTTGGTTTTTCTGTGCTTAACTGTATATAGTTTTGTTTTATTGGCACTGTACTGTAAGCATCTTCTGCACTATGCAAATATAAGAGCTGAGAAGCATATGGGCCGAATCCTGCAACATTCACTCAGGCAAATGGCCAATTCACTTGATGGGAACTTTTCCTGAGTAAGCAGTCAGAGCAGACTCTCAGCTCCATCGTATGCCTCGGCTTCTTTTCAGGTATGACAACAGACACTGGCGCTTTGCAAGAAGGAAAGGAAGGGCATAAGACCCAGTAATGTGGGTAGATGCTCAGTTCTGTTCTTCTCAGGACTTAAGATCCACTGAGATGCTACAAAAGGCACAGTCAATATAGAATGACCCTCTCCAGCCTTTAGTGGCCTGTTAAAAATCTGCTAATAAAAGAAAAGACCCTTAAAAAAGGAAAAAGTCTTCAGGATGAGAGGAAAGGGCCTCAAGTGGTGCCAGGGGAGGTTTAGACTAGATATTAGGAAACATTTCTTCACTGAAAAATGATCAGATATGGAAACAGTCTGCCCAGGGAAGTGGGGTAATCGCCATCCTCAGAAGTGTTCAAAAGACTTGTGGATGTGGCACTTGAGGACATGGTTTGCTGGTGGATTTGACAGTGCTGGGTCAACAGTTGGTCTTTTCCTATCTTAGTAATTCTGTGATTCAATACATGATAGCATTTCTCCATCCCCAGTCTGGACACAATCTATTGGTAACAGTAGTGGAGACATCTCTCTAGTCAAAGCAGATAGATTTAAGCCACAGGAATTCATGGAGTGAAGAGAAAGAGAAGGAAAATCTGCTTTTGATAAAAAACACCAGTTATTTCTGCTCCACCAGCTTGTTCAAGAGCTTTGTCGGAGAGACATAACTCAAAGTGGGAACTTCAGGATTCAGCTCTACATCCAGTTCTGGTTCAACCCTGCCATCTATCATACAGGAATGGGGTTTCACCCTTTAACTGTGTAGGTGGCTAAAAGCTCTGTCCCATTTCCTGATCTCTCTATATTACATAGTCCAAGCTGTGGTGACAAGCAATATGTTTTGGACTTGAGGTCCAAGATCTACAAAAGCTTACACAGATGCTTTTCTTGATTGACTCCAATTTTGTCTACACTGCCCCTCACAGCTTGGTATGTATCAGAGAAGCTGGTTTTCTTCGATCTAGCTACCATGGGAACCAGTGCAGCACTGATGCTGTAGCACACATTTCAGCATGATCCCCACACAGACCCTGGTTGCACACTTGGGGCTTCTAAAGTGTGTTGAGCACTAGGCTGTGTGTTTTCAGTGCTAATGTCATCCCTAATAGCTACACTGATATTAGCAGTGGTACCCATATTTTTCTTTCTCCTACAGACATTTCTTTCAACAGTGCTTGACTGAAAACTTAAGCTGCAGACCTTACCCATGTTCCTCATCCTCATCCTCATGCACCTTTTAAACAAAGTAGCTAATTCAAATAGAGGCTTAAAGGTCAAACAATCCAGACCTGGTTTTGCAAACCTTCTTGTACATGACTTTTCCCCTTCTATAAAAAAAAAAAAAAAAAAAGAAAATCTCATCAGGAAATGTTGGCAAAAAGGGTTTAATTACAGAAATAATTTTGCACCCTATGGAGAAAGCATGACGAATGGCATATTTCCACATTTGAATTGCACATTCATCAAGAAAAGAGTGATTTCCCCTTAAGAATGTTCTGGAGGAGCAGAAAAGAGCATTGAACCCTGGGGTGTGTATTTTATAGTCTCTGAAAGGCAAATGGCTTCTCTTTCATTGATTAAAATACATGGGTTTTCCATCTGGATTATTCTCCTAGATGTAGGAAAAAAAATTAAAATCTTTGGTAGTGGCTGTCAAGCAGTGCAGCCCCTTAGGAGATCATTCCACTAAGGTGAAGGGCTCACCAAACCAGCTGCTGCTGAACTTGGCCAGGAAGAAGCCTTTGACCACCAGATGTTGCTTTTTTTTTTTGCTTGATGAATGGGACTTTACAAAATGTGTTGTCATTGTTTTGTTGGAGCGAATGTCAACATGGAAACACAAGCCAGCATTGGGAGCACCAGGTGCTAATTGGAGTGGCAGCTCCAGGACTTACTGTCCTTACTGTCCTTGCTGTCCTTGCTGTCCTTGCTGTCCTTGCTGTCCTTGCTGTCCTTGCTGTCCTTGTTCTCTGGTACCCAAGATCTAACAGGCTCGTGCATTAGTCTTGTCATTCACCTTCTTGTCCCACAGACATGGCTTCTTTACAAACTCTTCGCAAACACTGCGTGGAGGAGAACTTGGCTCAATAGTCACTGCTTTCAAGGAGCAAAGTGCAAAGTTGCTGGGGTGCAGGACAAAGGCACAACATGGCAGGCTGATGAAAACTGATCCTTTAAATGTACATCTTCATAAAATATGCTCCAAGTTGGTATGCAGCACACTTTTGTGACAACAGTAATTCACTGTGAATTGAAGCAGGAGCAGGATTTTCCTAAGCAAAGTAGCTTTTCCCCATTAAATTACTATTGTTCTTTTTTTACAAGGAGCATTATTGTCTAGTTCTGTTAACAGAGAAAGGCCAATTACACAAACAGTGCTGACCTGTTAAACTTGAATTCACCAGACAGAATTCAAATAAACAGCATTCTACTCCCCACTTGGGTTTACTGATTTTCTCTTAATAATGTCACTTGAGTTTTAAAAAAAAATGTCTGAGGTGAATGGGTATATCAACTAAGTGTTTCAAAACCACAGGAAAGTAACGCAAACTGTAAGAGCACTAAGAACAAGAAAAAGAAAAAGTT